AAGAAACTATCTCAAAATCCAAAAGTTAGAAAAACAAAGATTTAGTACAATTATTAATTCAATCATTCCTAGTACTTGGGGAATGGTAAATGAGCATCAGCTTCATTGTTTTCAGTGATTTATGACTTTCAGTTATATGTATGTATATATGTCTGTTGGTGTATACAAGTGCCTTTGAAGCCCATTCAGCTTCCTTGGTGCTGGGAACTGAACTTGGGTCCTATGCAAGAGCAGTACACGCTCTTAATTGCTGAGCTGCCTGTTTAGCACCCCAAAGTAAGTTTCAAGTGAAGCCAGGTACCTTGAACTACGCAGAGAGACCATGTGGTGATATCTGCTTCTGAAAATCCTCCTGCCTTCAAAGGATAGAACCTTCCCAGACTTAGCTGTAGAGTTAATACGCCTTGAGACCACTGAAGGCTGTGCACTAAGTCTGCTATCCTATTGCATACTGGATCCGCTGTCCTCCTGTGTACTCAGTCTCTGCAAGCTTAACCCGCCTCTAAGAGAGCGATGCAGCCAACCTTACTTGCCCTGGATTCCCCACATCAGCTTTTACAACCCGTGCTAAACGCAGAGAGAGCTGTTTTACTCTTAAGTTATGTGCTTTCCCATGCCCTGACTCAGAGTGTGTGTGTGTGTGTGTGTGTGTGTGTGTGTGTGTGTGCCATTTACTGAAATCAGCCAGCACCTGGGTGAGGTTTTGAGCGCTGTTCTGCGTCAGGTGAAGTAACTTCTTCCTTGTAGAACTCTGCTAAAGATCTCTGTAGAAAAGTGTCCCTCATTCTAGATTGTTCAGTAAATTCAGAGCAAACTCTTTGTTAGGGACAAGCAACAGGAACCAGACAACAGCTACACACAACCAGACAACAGGCCACAGACCACAAATTACAGACACAGGGAGAGAAGTAGAGAGTTCAAATTTTGGCTTCTCTTTTGCTCTAAACTATTCTTTTTTTTTTTTTTAAAGATTTATTTATTTATTTTGTATACAGTATTCACCTGCATGTATGCCTGAAGGCCAGAAGAGGGCACCAGATCTCATTACAGATGGTTGTGAGCCACCATGTGGTTGCTGGGAATTGAACTCAGGACCTCTGGAAGAGCAGTCAGTGCTCTTAACCCCTAGCCATCTCTCCAGCCCACTCTAAACTATTCTAAGAGGAAGTATCTTTCTTTAATTCCTCAATTCTACCATTGATGCAAGCTCTGTCTCAAAAAAAAAAAAAAAAAAAAAAAAAAAAAAAAAAAAAAAAAAAAGACCAACAAGTTGTGAGTAGAGTAACTCCAATGTCCACCAGTTAGTGAATGGATCAATACAATGTGGTATGTGCGGAGAGTGAAGTGAGGAAGGCAGGCAGACTGCAGAGGTGGGTGTGGGTCCACTCCGAAGGTAGATCGACCCAGTTACTGTTAGCTTGGCTGAAGGGAGAGGAGACAGGGGCTCCAGGTCCCAGATGTCTGACCTGAGCCCCGGGAGCTGGCAGTATCGTTTCCTTTCCTTTTTAAAGACTTCTTCTAGCTTTAATGATGTGTATCTGTGTATGGGTGTCTGTATATGAGTGCAGGTGTCTGCAGAAGCCAGAGGCATCAGATCCCCTGGAACTGGAGTTTCAGGTGGTTGCAGGGCACCTGGTGGAGGTGTTGGGAATTGAACTTGGGTTCTCTGCAAGAATGGCAAGTGTTCTTAACCATAGAGCCAGCTCTCCAGCTCCCCATTTTCTTTTTCAAATAAGATTTACTTTGTCTCAAAAGCCAAAGCACAATAAATAAAGAGCAGAGGCATCAGCCTCTTGTCTCAGTGTCCAGGTTTTGGTTTCTGGGCACTGTCTGCTCTCAGTCTCTGCCTTCAGGGTGTCTTTGGCCCTGGGTTTCTATTCCCCCCTCCTAACTCTCTCCTACACACCAGAGCTCTTTCCCACAAGGGAAGCAGTTTCCTGGAAGAGACCAAAGGTCAGAATAAGCCAGTGAGATGAGGAAAGGGACATGGGAGACCTGGGGAGGGGAGAGAACCTGGAAGGGAAGAAGGAAGAGGGTGGGAGAGGCCATGTTGGGAAAGAAGGGAAGCTAGAGCAGAGAATGAGTGGCAGGCGAGCGAGAAGGGCTTGAAGGAGAAGGGGGAGGGTGGGGAAGGGGAGGAGCTAGGGGCGGAAAAGCAGGAGGCAAAATGGGAAGGGGCTGAAGAAGAAAATATGAGGAATGAAAATCCACTAGGAACAAAAACACAGATGTGTCTGTATAACACTAGCCTGTGAACGAAGCAGACACCAATGGGCATGTGTTATATTATTCCAGTCATAGGAACTGCCCAGGAGAGGTATATACTTAAGAGACAGAAAGCTGATATTACTTCCTTGGGGCTGGGGGGCAGGGGTGGGTAATGGTAGTGATAGCTAATGTTACAAGGCTTTCTTTTTCTTTGAGACAGGGTCAGCTCGGAGCCCAAGCTGACCTGAAATTCCTGGTCTTCTTGCTTCCACCTCCCAAGTGCTGGGATTACAGGCATGGGCCACCACTCACAGGCTGGTTCACATCTTCTGGGGGATATGACATCTTCTGGGGGAAATAAAAGTGTTCTAGAACCCCAACCTTGTATGTACAGAAAAATTGACTTAAGCCGGGCGGTGGTGGCGCACGCCTTTAATCCCAGCACTCGGGAGGCAGAGGCAGGCGGATCTCTG